AGGAAGGAAGGAAGGAAGGAAGGAAGGAAGGAAGGAAGGAAGGAAGGAAGATCGACCTCCTAAAATGGTGAGACTCATATCATTGCCAAGGACTTGGGAAGAGTTTGCTCTGGGGTTAAAAAAAAAAAAAAAAAAAATACAAAGCTCCCAACCTTCCAACTGTGAACCACCCTATGCAAAGATATCTAAAGAACTAGAGCCCTCACTGGTGGACACTAAGTGCCAGTCATTGATATAAAGGCTTGACAATTCTATAAAATTAGTCCTTTGGTCAATTATAAACTTTCAGAATCACGGGTGCTGGCTGCACCTGTAAAAGGTGAGAAAATTGAGGGCACACAAATAATAAGCAGCAGAGGATGATTCAAACCCAGATATGACCCTAAAATCCATGCACTTAACCTCTGAGAGCTTTTTCTTTCCTGTTAAACTTCACATGAAGAAAAAAGATGAAGTGTTTGCATCTTCAAGTCGACTCTCACTATCTCTCCTTAGAGAATTAATACACAAGGAAAAAGGGCATTAGGACCACTCACCTCTTTGACCACCCTATAATTGTAGCTGCTGGTGCTCTCATGCTTCTGTGACTTGTTATTCCCCTCCTAGAGACCAAAACAAACGTAAGGGTGGTTCGTCCAGCCCCTGGACTGTAACGTATGTGTGTTTATACGCTCATTGGAGTTTAGGAAACAATGGGAGTTTTTGCAGCTTTCCTATAGTTACGCTGGGTTTAAGCCCGAGTCACGTGTTCATCCCCCTTGCGACTGACAGGATTTCCCTGATGTGGGAGAGGATGGTGGACCAGACTACTGACAACAGGTTCTTCCCTGGGTGGGTCTGGAAGGGAAATATGGGGCTAATCCACTCAACAACCAAGTATTTTCCCTGTGGTCCAAAGTGACACAGGTGAGGTAGCTACCCTTCCATCCTGCAGCTTATTGCTTGGGAGAATGGCTGTTACTTTGGCTACTCAACATGCAGGTCTCTTGAGAATAAAGCTCATCCCATAATATACACTTTTATGTGAAACCAGAGTAGGCTATTCACTTGTTTGAGGAGCCTATCCACCTCCTCTGGCAGCGTGACCTGGGTCTCACCCACCTCTGTTTTCTTATGTTCGATTTCACCAGAGACACCATCCATGGCCTCATCAGGGCCCTGCCCTTTGTACACCCAAAGCTCCGACTTTTCCACGATGGATCTCAGCTGGTCCAAGTCTTGTTTGATCTGTTTGTAGTTGTCCACATCTTGGCTGGTAACAAGCAGCTGAACCTGAGCAAATGCAACGTGCCCGTGTCACCATGGCCTCTTGGGCAGCTGACGACGACGATACCCCCCCCCCCCCCCACACACACACACACTACCTGTTTGAAGGCCTGCAGGACCTCCTGCCTCTGACTGAAGTGCCGAAAGAGGAGCTGCAGGGCCCCTGACACCAGGGGTGGGTAGTCGTGCATTGTCAAATGCAGCAAGACTCGGAGGAAGGTTCTGCCACCATGGTCGTCCAAGTCCAGCGGTGTGTTCTCCTCACTACAGGAGTGCACAGAAGGGGAAAGGACAGATGAGCCACAAGCACCCTTCTCTCACACACTTGGACCCAGACACACGTTAACCAGAGTTCTAACCCCGTGGTCAACCCTGGGTGACTTGAGTTTTAGTAAGTTCCTGTAAGAACACAATCTTGTTTTAACTTCAACTGAACTGCGAGCAGACTATGAGGAGGTCACAACTGTCAAATTCTAAGCCAAAGTCCCTACCTTCCCCCAGTGACAGGAATTGACTTTTTATCCATATTTCTGACTGTGAGTGTTCTTCTGCGGGGTCTTATCTATGGTTTGAGAATAGCACACCGTTGTGTTTCTTCTAATGAGAAGTTTTATTTTTTATTTAAGAGGCTGTAACTCAGCACCTACCAAAACACCTGTGGTAAAGCACCAGCTTCTTTTACTTTAACTTTACAGCTAACTGATGTCTTAGTCTATACCAGGCCCACTGATCAGGCACTTGGAGGCTGTGGCAGGGTCTAGCTGCCATAAAAGTACCCAAAATGATTACTCCCATGATCTGGACTTACCATGTCACAAACTGGTAGCAAGCAGTCTGAAGACCGCACTTTGAAGAGTGTTCTTCAAACGGATTAATAAGCAAATTGTCAGGGGTTATCTCAGTATCTGTGATAACTGTGTGTTATTTCCGTAAAGAAAGAATTAATGACCATGTACTGGATCAAATGGCATTCTACTGCAGAACTGAGCACTGCCATTCAATTATTACATCAGTGCCTATATTGTGTTCACCATCTAAGGAACCTTCATGTGTGCAGGCTAGCAGGAAAAGCAGAGAGGATCTCCCAGGAAAATACTCTATTTGTGCTACATCCTCCAAAAGAGGAGTGAAGACAGTGTCACTGCTGTGTCATTATCAGGAAAGGTGAGATACAAGACAGCACAAAGGAGTGTCATCATACTGAACTCAACACACTCTGTTTCCGAAAAACAAGATCTTTCATCACAGTCAGTAATATTACTAACCCAAAATTCAAAGGCTTTACATTAAACGCTGGGGTAGAATGTTAACATTGGTGGCCCTCAACAAAATAGACCCTTATGTAGGCTCCTCCCACATTGACAGTGGGCTCAGCCATGTGACTTGCTTTGACCAATAGGACATCAGCAACATGCTACAAGCAGAGGCTTAATTAGTGTTGTACACTGTTGGCCTATCCTGTTGGGAACTTTGCTCTTAGAGCCAGTCACCACGCTGTGAAGAAGCCTAAGACAGTCATGCGTAGAGAGAGAGGAAGGGAGGGAGAAAGAGACGTCCCAGACTTAGAGAGCCAGAAATGTGAGTAAAGCACCTTGGATGTACTAGCCCCAGTCACCAGACCACCAAAGTTTTACAATACACTGAACAGTGACCAGCAGGCGAAATAGCCAGCTTAGCTCCAGTCAAGCCATTGAATTGTGAGAAGCAATAAAAGGCTTATTTTTTTAATCCATTAAATTTCTGGAGTAGTTTATTATACAGCAATAGATAACTGAATCAAGGGTATATGTTAAAAGAACTAGGTGCATAAGGTATTTATATAAGCTTACAGCTATTCAAATCTGATAGGTATTTAGATCTCAATCAACAATGAGTAACCCACTCTTTTAAAAAAGGAAATAATACATTAATTTAATGTTAGGGACAGGTATATTTTTGTTGCTGTTGTTGCATGGGCTCTAAAGAGCCAACGGATAAAAATGTCAGTCCATCAGCAGCAGAAGGACATGATCTTGTTAACCTCACTCTGTTTTCAATCTCCTTTTTTCTTTCAACCCTATTTTTCACCATTAAAGAAATCCTAGCATATGTGTATTTGGGGAAACCTACTTACATTCTTTCTATCCTAGGCAGGAAACACACAAACACACACACACACACACACACACACACACACACACACACACACACAGCCTAGTATCATTCTGACCTGAGCACTAAAAGTTACAAAGATAGCCGTAAAATAACCTAAACCCAAAGACTAAGCATTTCCTAGAAGAATGAAGGAAAGAGCCTTTCAAAGCTATATGAAAGAAGCTTCCCAACCAGAACCACCCACAAAACTGAACACCGAAAATATACTTTCCTTCCTCCAAAGATGCCTTCTGCTTGCTCTTCAATATGTTCAAAGTCAAGAGTACCTGAAAATTTAGAGAACACAGCTTCAGGTGCAGAAAGGTCTAGAAAAACAGGATGTTGGTGAACTTTCCCAAAAATAGACTTGCCCCTGTCCATAGGTTAACCTCAAGTCTTCCAGAATCTTATATTGGAAACCTGTGAAGCCACATCAACTCAGATCACACTGTCCAGCGGCTCCGGTGTGCGATGTTCCACATTTCTGCCAATTTCCTACCCACTCATGATCCCCTTAGTAGAGCAGAGTGATGACCTTGTGCCAAGGAAGCTCAGGCCTTGATAGGTGGGATTATGTCTACTACCCCTTATTCTTCACCACTATTTCCTGGGCAGGTGAAAACTTCCATCATGAGTAAAAGCTGCTGGTGAACAATAAATTTTCTTAGAGGGTTATGTTTTGTTTTTTTGGCATTTCTGTAACCACAACACAACCACATAGCGGTCCTATGATTAAGCCACTCCAAGATGGAAGGAAAGAAGACCTAACCCAGAAGAGATCTGAACTCTTTTAATTATTCCTCTGCCCAAAAAGGGTAACTCCTAGGATTTTGTTCTAAATTACAGTAATATTCAAAATATTCACATTTTACCTTTTGTAGTGTGTACTGTTTGAATCCCCAGCTTTTATTAGTCCCACATCCCATTCTATGGCTGAAATCCCATTCTGAAATCACTAACCTGGTACGTTACTTGGCCCCTCTTGGCTGCTGCCTCCGGAGGATGTTTCCGAAGTCTGGGAATTGCTTTCATCAAATTCTCGCTTAAATATACACAGGAGGCAGGAGATCCTATAATCCAACCTCACATTCAAAATAAACTAAAGATTCAAGTGGAAATGGAAACAGATTGGTTACATTAGCATACCACCTGTAACACTGTGCCAACCCACCGCACTCTGGCTGGGTCTGGTATCTGCTGCATCAATTACCTTAAGCATTAAGGGAACCAAATATTTGGCTTAGACTTCAACAGTTACTTCAACAACAGACTGCCATGGGGTCTATCAAATCTGTCTGCAGCACCTTTGCATCTAAACTTCAGCATCCTGATAATTAATTTAATAATCAGAACAATTAATCACTCACTACTTACTCCATCCTCTATAAAACATTATTTTTTGCAAGTATTAAATCTCAACTCTGGTCTATGAGAACGGTGATGTTGGCCACTTTGCTTTTAAAAAATTAAGAGAGAAAAATGTTTTTACTACTAGAAATTAGCTTGGTTTGTCTTTTTCATTTCTGATGGTTTCCTTTGATTTATATACTAACTCTTGGGTTCTCTCTTCATTCTCTCTGCCCCTCCCCTGCTTGCACTGTCTCTCTCGCTCTCAAAAAATAAATAAATATTGAAAAAAAAAAAAAGAAAAGAATAGAAAATCAAAGTTCAAGACCCTGGTGACCTTACTCAATCCCAGGACATACACTTCTCCCAGACTATACTACCTAGGCTTGCTTTCCAAGGTCTTGGGTCATGGTTTCCTACTTACTACTGGATACCCCATTTGGTTTCTTTCCAGAGTCTCCAACTCAGTATTGTATAAAACTATCAATGTCAGTCCTGCCTGGATTCTCTCATCCTGAATCAATCTCAGTCAATCTAACCCTCCCTCTCTGACACACACATCTCATCAGTGACGATGTCCTGTTGGCTCCACCTCTACCAAGTCTCCTGGATCTTTCCTATCATTTATCCTTGCTCATATCTTCATGATCTCCTGCCTTGCCATACCAGATCCAGCTCCCAAAGGGGCCTATTCTTAGGTCAGTCCCCTACATAAAAACTCTCAAAGGCTCACCAAAGAATAAAATCCTGGTACTTTAGGCACCCGGAGTGCTTAGGCACCCAGAGTGCTCAGAACCTGGTCTGCTCCTACTTTCCAATCTTATCTCTGACAAGCTCCATACACTCTATGTCCTTGCCCAAGGAGAGTTGTTACTGGTCCATGTGATGTCATGCTCTGGTCTGACATGCTCCAAGTTCAAGGGGACTTGAGAAGGTCCCCTTGTTTCTATACTACAAATCCTTTTCAGGGTTAAAAGCAGAGTTAAGATCCTACCTCTTCTGTAAAAACCTTCTCTGGTGCTTACCAAATGAGATCCCATGACCCACCCTTGTGTCCCAAGAGAACACGTTCCTCACAGTTTTATTTGCAGGAAGACACAGCTTCATCACATCTTATTTTCCTCTTAGACTATATAATCCCTGGTGGATACAGTCCCTGCCCAAATCATCTGTGCATTCCTGCCAGTGCCCAGCAAAGCACCTTGCATATGGGAGAGGGTCAGTAAGCATTTGATGAAACAATGAATCCAACAACCAACTGCTGTCTGTTCTCAGATGGCTACAGTGAGAGGACCTCAAGGTATCATCAAGTTTTACATCACTTTTTTTTTTTTCTTTGAGAAAGACAGGGTGCAAGCAGGGATGGGGCAGAAAGTAGAGGGATACATAATCCATGGCCTAAGAAGTCCTCCACAACTTTTGTTCAGGCATAAGTTCAATGAGGTTCCTTCCTAAGTCATTCTCTACAGCCTTAAATATTTGAGGACTCTAATGGATGTTTTCAAACTACTAATAAAATGTGATTCAGACTCAAGAGACAAATTAAGTCTACAAACATTTATAATCATCTACTACATGTTCTGGGGTTGGGATTAGGCAGCATGGGAAAAAGAAGTGGTAACAGTCTTCTATTCACTAAGGAACAAATAATTCTGCTGATGAATAAAAACGATGTATGAACAGAAAGAGGAAAACACAGAATGTCATGAGATCAGGAGGGTTTTCATACCTAAGATCAAACCCTATCTTCAGGAGACTGACTCCCGGACCTCATTTTGCCAATGTAGGGAGTTTACTCCTACAATTATCCTCTCTCTCCTGTGTCAACAACTTGTCCCTCTCTACCTGACCATTCCATTCAGGATACAAACTTGCTATAATCTCCCAACTTAAAACTTATTACAACAAAAAGTTCCTGTCACCAACAATCACCCTTCAGTCACTTCCCCACTTCTCTATACATCTTTATACCAAATCTCCTCAAAGAGTTTTGTACTTACTCTCCCTGATTCATCTTCTTCCATTCCCTCTTGAACCCAACCTATTCCAAAATTTGCCAAGTGTACTCCCACCTCAGGGTCTTCTCACTGTTATTCCCTCTGCCTCAGAGAATTTTCCTAGATACTCACATATTAGGTTCCTCACTTCATTCAGGTCTCTGATCATGTTCCCTTACTAGAGAGGCCCTGTCTGACAACCCCATCGAAAGAAATATCCCTGGCCCCACATTCTGATGGCCTCCAAACCATCCTGACCCTCTTATATTTTAGCATCCTTACCACTTACCACTATCTGACATAGCATACCTGTTGTTTAATATGCCTATGACTCTTACCAATATGTAGGCTCTTTAGAAATGGGAAATTAATATATGCTGTTCAGCCCTGGATCTCAAATGCTTAAAAGTACTTGGCACAGAATCAATTTCAATAAATACTGAATGAATGAAAGAATTAACGAATGAATGAAAAATGGAGGGAGGCAGTTAATTGAACCTTAAGCTGAGTTGTGAGCAATAAATAAGCAAGAAATCTGTCTTTATGTAGAAGAATACCTATGTGAGTTCTAAGCAAAGGGAGCATCTTGGGGGCAGACCTAGAGGCCAATGGTGATGGAAAGCTAAGGTAACTAGAGGAAGTTGTGTCATGGCTGGCAGGAAAAGGGCACACTGGGGAGGGGTATGA